GATCTTCAGATTCGTAAAAATTTGGGGTCCAAATTTCTAGGCTACGTCAACAACAAAAAACAGCTAGTAGCCACTAGCCATAGAAGAGCTCTTGGATGCCTCGTCGTAAACTTCAATACGACCACAAGTGTTTGATTAGAGTCAAGTATATTTGCAAATTACAATGGTACATCTCTAAGCGAATAGGCTCGGGAAGGTCGATCTACATAGGCAAGGAGTGCTCAAAAGTTGATGAAAACAGCTATTATTAATCGGTAGTCCGCGTGGCGCGATACTGACGTAATGGAAAGATGTTATCGAAATTACGCTTGATAACTTGGACTTCCATCTCAAGTGCCACACCATTGCAAAACACCAACGACCATGTTATGACGCGGGTGATGCATATATCTCTAGGATCGGATCAGCTGTTTTGAGAAGGTTTGCGAGCAAATTTACGACGGACGAATGACCATAGGTATCTAACAAGTACCACTTTTCGACATCAGGTTAATTTGGTTGGTGAGTATCAATCAAACTGTTTTTAGGGTCGCCCTGCCGGGCAATCTAGCCGTTCGCTCCAACGTGATATTTGAATTACTTACTTAAGATTGGATCAGCCAACTTCAGAAGTGTCTGCGGCAAACATGGGATAGATCAGCACAGAGTGAGATACGATCGGATTACAAAAACAGACACCGTATAGTTGTTCGAGATCGAATCTCCCCGAATCTAACTTGAACACGAGGGTTCAGTAGCTAGGGCACAAACTTACTGACCGGAAGGTCCGTGGTTCGAACACAACCTGTGTCCCGAATGGTCCTGTCTAGGTTTGAGCAAACTGACAGTATCTCAGCTCTCGTGCTTCCTTCTGGTGACATGGCATCGAGAGTGTTACAGCTGAACGATTATTATTACCATTATTAATAGTAAATGACAATGAGACAAGATCAACACTGTAGGGTGAAATGCTCGTACCAATCCTAACAACCAAGTGTTGCACAGCCAGAGGTGCACAGCATTCATCATCATCGTCATCATCACCATCATCAACATCATCGTTATCATCATCATCATCATCGTCAGCTGTGAGAGCCGCGCACTAATCTTAGTAGTTGTATCTGCCATATCATCGTTCACCGATGCTTTGGGGAAATGGGGTAGGTAGCTGTGCATTGGAGGCGGGACCTGATAAATTGGTGCGTAAATAGAGGTTTGTCAGTGGGCTCACAAGGGGGACACTGAGAAGGGAACTATCTGTTGATGCTAATAGATTGGATGCATTGGCATCATTGAGGGCGTGACTGGCTGACAATATCTCCAACCATTGATGTGGCCCATCTCTCATCCATGGAGACGGCAATGACCAGCGCAGCTGAGTTTCCTGGTAACGTCTTTCACATTTCCCTGCCAAGTCATTATTTGACCTCACCTGGTTCGTTTCCACCCTTCGCGTGGTTCTGTAAAAAGAATCGAAGAATTCGGTCGACTGGTATATTGAGCGCGTGGCCAAGCCAGCGCCAGCTATGCATTATGACCAGTTCACCCATCGTGGACGAGTTATTTCTTCCGAAAACTGTTCGACGGATTTCAGCATTGCTGCTCCGGTGTTTCCACCAGACTCGGGCAATGCTCCAAAAACATCGGTGGTCAAACACCAAACGTGCCCAATATCTGTGAGCGGATGCCTCGGGAGCACGTCGACCCCACAGGCCTTAGAGGCTGATATTGAGGCTTTCATGATCGTATCACTAACGAAGTTGAAGAGGGAAGGTGAGAGAGGACAACCCTGTCTGACACCACTTGATGTGGTGAACTCAAAAGAGGGCCTCCCATAGACCTTCACACGGCCGCGGGAGTTGGTGTACAGCACCTTAAGAAGGGTCAAGGATTTATGGGGGACACCTTTGCTCCACAGACAATGCATAGTGCCTGACGGTACACAGAATCACAGACAGCTTTTAAGCCAAAGAACACAACCATTGTTGGTTACTGGAAACAGTGTCGCATTGTAATACTCGCACCAGTATCAGGTATTCCAAAAATCTGTTGTAGTATGCGACATCACCTTGATTTCACTTTAGAGAGACCAAAATGGGTGTCATCCATATTCCCTTAAGATCAAGCTGCCAATTGGATGCCGGTGGATTTACATTATTTGGTGGTTCCCGCTGGCTTTGAACAAGGTCTGTGACCATTCGGCAAACAGAAAAATGGTCTGAAACATGGGTCGCTAAATGATAGCCGAAGAAAACTGTTCGCATGGTGCTGGTGACCCACAGCAGTACTGTACCTCAAGTGTCAAGGGAAAGAGTAATGCGGTCCCTCTGGAAAAACGAATCCTCTACCATCAGTCGCTGTACCACGCGAATAACAAAGTCCACGAATGGGAATAGGGTAACGCGATGCTGATGAGGTAAGTTGCAAAAACTTACTATGATCGGTTCTGCGTCCGCCTGCACGTCCGGACGGAATGACTGATCAGACAGGGAGGAAGACCCTAACGACCTGGCATGTTCCATTTGTCTGTTTTCGTAAGAAAAAGAGGAAGTGCAGTAGACGCAGA